CATGTCTTCTTCAGTCAGGGGCTTCTGGGTCTCCTCCCAGACCCACACGTTATTGATTTTTCTGATTCTGATCCAGTAATAGCTCTTGGAGAAGCTCAGTACGGAGTTGAGATATTCGACCTGTTTTTTATTTTGAATTGTCACCAGGTGGGTGTACTTTTGCTGACAGTACTCCCTGGCCTCCTCATAAGTCATCCTTTCTGTAGAAGCATTGTAAGACCAGGCTCTGCTGTCTCTAATGAGAAGCACTAGAGGGATAGAGAAGAAATGGTAGACTTTGGCTCCTATATAGTTTAACTGTATTTATTGTGCTTAGGATTGTCTTAATTTTGTTATGTATGGCCTTTGGAATGACCCAAGTGCTTTCACCCCTTCCAAGAAATCCGAGGAACACATGAGAAATGCTATCATTTACTGTGGACAACTTTGTGACTAGCCTTGCGCTAGGAACTGTATCACATTCACTCATCCAAGCCTAACTGCACATCGAATTTACAGTAGACTGAGAGAATCAGGTCAATTAGGTTTTATTGATCCCCTAGTGTATGTCACCAAGTACTGCATGAAGCACTTCATATGAATCATAATATTGAATTCTCGCAATGTCTAAATAGGCCACTTAAAAAAAAATAGGTCTCTTATGACCAATACTTTAAACTTGAGAAAATTACAACACTAAGAGGTAAAGAATATACTGTCCTGAAATATGTGGGCTCCTGCTAATGACTCTACAATGCACAGGACATCCTCATTGTGGAAGGACATTCTGGTCCTCAGTGCCAATAGTGCCCAAATAAGAAAGCCTAATCTGTCTGGTAACAATGACTTACCAAACATGGGAATGGAGAGAAACCACGGAGTATTCATGCCTTCAAGCATTCTTTTCACTGAAGAATTAGACCTGAAATGTTTTCCAGAAAAGAAGATGTATAAAATGAATTATAGAAGGACATAACAAGTGGCTTGTTAGCCCATTCTACAGTGATTTTGATCCAGCATCATATGATTTGAGCAAAGGGGCTCTAATGGAAGAGCCTATATTACAAGGGTTTTACCAGAATGAATAAAACATTGAGCATTTTCATTAGTTAGGTCAAACAGAAAAATAAATGGTATTAACTCTAATACAGTGAAAGTTTACAAACATATTGGGAAGCTTCTCACATGTCTGTCATAGTGATAACTATGTATCATAGCCAAGGTGGCACTTCTCAAGAATTCTGTACTTACTGAACTTCAAGGCAGATGTATGGACGTTGGATTTCTCAGGTGTCCCACTGCTTCTGCTGCTGCTCTCCTGTGCTGTGCTGGAAGTTCTGATGTGAAGTCAGCCAAGACCTGCTGACCATGGCTTGTGAAGGGCCCCTTTATAAAAGGCTGGCTTCCTGTAACAGGAAGATGTATTCCAACGCTGAAGAAAAGAAAGGACACAGTCCAAATCTGAAGGACCTGATTTAGTTTCCCTATAATAGATTAAATTAGACAAGATCCAAAGTAGAGGATATATGTATAGAAAAACAAAAGAAATATCTTTTGAAGAGTAGGAAATTCTTTGAGCATTTACATTATTAAAGTTTTAAACAAATTTTGTTTAATATTTTACAGATACTGATGTAATTTTAGTTTTTATCCCACTTTTCTTAGCAGCTTATTGTTGCTGAATAATTACAGAGGTCTAATTTCTCATATGCTGTTTATGGAGATTTTATGGGAGGAAGTGAAGCTTGGCTCATGCATAACATATATACTGTAGGTCTAATAAATTATGAACATATGATTAGCCATTGTCTTAAAAAGGGCACAGTCAAATGGCACTATAGTCAAATATATGCATTTTCTGTTTTTTTTCATTCATTGTTTTGAGACAAGGTCTTTAATTGTAGTTCCAGTTGGCCTTGAACTCACTGTGAGCCCAGGCTAGCATTGAGTTCATGTGAATCTCACCTCCTCAACCTCCTGAGTGCTAGGGTTATAGATGCAAACACCATGCCCAGATTCTTGTATAAAAGTCTCAAAACAAAATTTATCTGCTATATTAGTAAAGTGTGTCAATAATTATTTTATTTTTAAAATTGAAATTAAGTAGAAAATACTAGTTGATAATACATTTGTTGTTATGGATTGTTGTAACAATTTAAAATTTATCTCTTTTGTCTTTTACTTGCAAAGATATACAAAGACACACACAATGGTAATGTAGTCCCTTCATTTACAAATACTGCATTTGGCTCCTTATTCTCATCTCTAACATCTATGGAGTGCTTGCTATGTGCTACATCCTGGTCTGAGTATTTTATATGTCCATCTCTAGCATTATTTGATCCTCATCCATCTCATAATGGAATAGGCACTTGATTTCACAGATAAGGACTTTAATAAACAAGTTATCTCATTTATCACATTCCACAGCACAGCTAAGGCCTTGAAACTCAAGGCCCATCAGCTAA